CTGTGCCTGCTGGCGCACACACACGGCCCCATGCCTGCTGACACGCATGCGCACACATGCGGTGGCATGCTCTGTGGTTCAGGCATGTGGGTGGTGCTGGAGCAAGGTGTCCCAGGAAAGTAGGAAACCAGGGGTGGGGGGTGCTGGGCTGCTCAAGCCTGCTGAGGGCTCCCTCTGGGTCCTACTGCCCCTGGCTCCAATCAGCTTTAACAGGGAGCTGGGGCAAATAAATATTAATTTACTAAAGTATTTTTAGGGCTTCCACTGGCCAGACAGTAAGGTCTGGTGGGCTATATCTGATCCAAGGACCGTATTTTGCCCGCCCCTGTTATAGGCAGTATCGTGCTTCCCCATTATAGCCTATGGGCAAAATGTCGAAACTGTCTCGCTGTTCCAACACTGTTTTGATGAAACAAGACAGAACAGGCCTTTCCAAACGAAACACTGTCCCATCGAAACGGTGAAACGGAAGTCAAAACGAAACTGCTGTTTTGCACAGCCCTAGTATCTACAGATTTGGAGGCCAGGAGAAAGCTGTTTATGGAATATGTCAGCTCTGTAAGCAACAGACAATGAGGAGATGAGCAGAAGAGCGGAGCAGAGGAAGGGTAGGGGAAAGCTCAACTTCCTCTAAAATTTGTGCACACAGGGCTGCCTAGGACCCAAGGGCAGAGACACCAGCCACTTGCCTGCACCAAAGTCAGAGGCAGGATCATCTGCTTCAGTACCATAGGTGTGAGCTCTTGGAAATTTCAGCTTTGCAACCCTGCCATCTCAGAGCTGCATCTCCATCTATTTAGCTGATTAGGTTAACTAGATTCTTCTTACCTTAACAAAAATTTGGTCAGGTCCTTGGACTCTCTGAAAAGTTGCTGAAGTAGCTCTTGGGTGGGAAATGAGTAGGTGTCCTTTTTTTTTTTTTTTTACATACCAAAAAAATATATGAAATGCTGCTGCTACGAGAAGGGGCTACTTCTAAGCCAAGCCTTCTGCTCAACAACTGGTGTAGACAAGACTTTTATGAAGCAACTTACTCCACAAAAGTGCAGCCAATCTCCACAGCAACCCTCCTCACTTCTCTTTTAAAAGACAACTTTCGTCCATTCTACTCTGCATTGATTTAAGGCAGCTATCCTTGGGAGAATAAACCAACAGAAGCCACTTACCCTGGCATCATATTCAAGGACAAAAGGGGGGAAATCGATTTGTTCTGGGGGTATGTCTGTGAACAACTGTTGAAGGCTTTCTACATAGTGGATTTTGTCCTTTAGCCCTGAGATGGTAAAGGTTGTGAAAAACCATGCTGATACCTAAAGAAAGCATAGAAAAGAATTAAGATAATGTTATTCCAGTCAGTGAAATTAATCAAGCTTCAACATTAAGGAAAAAACAACAATTACGTTTAACAAATACACCACTTAGATTACCAATGTGTTGCTGTTTAGTCATTTGCTTTTTGGTGCTTACACTGAAATTAACACCTTCAGTTTCCAGGCCAATATTCTGATTCCACTTTCAGTTTGAGCTCAACATTTTGGCCCCAAGTTGGTTGCATCCTTGAAAATAAAGTAGTGTCCCTATCCCTAAAAGTAGAGCATGAAGCTTCAAAACAAAGGAATTACACTTTTTGAGGGGTTCAAAATCTGTACACCAGTTGTTCTCTATCTTTTTAGATTCAAGCATGGACAGATCTAGGATTCTGAAAAAGGGGGGTGCACATGGTGTGATGCATCACTGCACATTACACAATATATATTTTTCTTCAGGTAAAAGAAACTAGAAGCTTTACTAACAAGCTAGGGGCCTCAGGCTATATTATTCCATTTAAAATCAAAGCAAAAACAAATACAAGCATGTTTGGAATATGCATTAGTTTGATATATCAGATGTTTTGTATTAAAAAAATAGAACAAACCAAGCAAAAATAATCAATATATTGTTTCACTAGTCTTGTAGTCATTAGAAGCAAGTCTACATCTCTCCTTTAGTTTCATAAAACTGAATCAAGCCTTCTTGAGCATCTTGATAGTGCATCCAATAATTTCACTGAAAATTATTTCCACACCTGAATACTTTTTAAGATAGAGTTAAAAGCAGTCTTCAGGGCTTTGAAATAGAAGCTGCATTACTTGGCGGAATTAAGACACAGCAGAATTGCAGAGGAAAGAATAGCATGATTAGCGGAACATTATTATCATTAAAAAGGAGAGAGAGCCATTAATACCTGTGAAATATAGAGTTTAGAAGGAATTAGGTAGATTACGATGAGCCATGAAATCAAGTGAATCCCTCACTTCTGCCTGAACAGAAATGCTGCTGCCACTGCTAGACAGTTTATTTTAAACTTTGGGTGGATCAGGAATCAAAGGGAGGTTCAACTGCACTCATGGCACCTGTAACAGGGAACCTAGGGCTCATTTTATCATAAGGGTGAAAGAGCAGTCAGGAGAGCCTCAGGAGGGGAAGGCTGCTTATTATATGCTGTCAGACAGCAGGTCCCCAGGGATTTATCTACTATGAGCACCTACTGCAGCTGCTCCGCTGTAGTACAATAGGCTAGAGCCCTGCATGGGGACAAGATACTACTGCAGCACTGTCTACCAGCAGCAAGCTACCCTAGAGTTAAGTCAGTAAGTTATATCAGGAAGCACCTGCAGCCAGCCCAAGAGGTCAACTGACCAGAAAAGGGCTGGGCCTGGGAGGCATGTAAACCCAGATCTAGAAGCTGAAGGGGAAAGATCTCTGCTGTGAAATGGCTGTTGCAGAAGGAACCCCACCAAGCCTGAGAACAACAAGAGAGGAGCTAAGGGCTGGTAAGGAACAGGGACACTGAATGAATGGAGGTTTTTAGTAGCTAATTAGTGGGTTTAGATTTCAGCTGCAGCCAGTGCACTTCTGTTGTGTTTGAGTTTGAACCGGTGGACTGGATGGGACAAAGAGGGGAGAATAGAGTGCCAGGGAGGCATGTCAATGTGGAGCTGGCCTAAGAGCGAGCTCTGTCTCCCAGCAGGAGAGCGAGACAGACAGAAACAGGGCCAAGGACTCAGTGCTTGAGAGAGGTGGAGTCCCTGGCCCTAAAGGGACAAGACTCCAGCCCCACTCTTGGGTCTAAATTACTAAATTACTACAAAAATCAATAGACAACCAGCTTAGTAGTCATAAATAGAGGATAATTATAAATGGATCCAAGTCCAAATAGCAGGAGGTTTTGAGTGGTGTCTGATGTGTTGGTCTTGGGTATGGTGCTGTTCAATGCATTTAATTACTTGAATACCAGAAAAGAGAGCTTCCTGAGCAAATCTATAGATGATACAAAATTAGGAAGGATTGCAACCACACTGGAGGACGGAAGTAGAATTTAGAAGGATCCTGATAAATTGGAAAGCTGGGCTATGGCAACACAATTAAGTTTAACACTAACAAAGGCAAGGTGCTACACCTAGGGAAGAATAAAATCAAAAGCACAAATGCAAACTGGGTGATAACTGGCTGGATAGTAGCACTGCAGAGAAAGATCTTGGGGTCTTGATGAATAACAGACTTAACCTGAGCCAGCAATGTGACGCAGTAGCAAGAAAGGTGAATATGGTTTATTGGGTGTAAGACGTGGGAAAGCAAGCATTGGTTAGGCCTCATCTAGTATTGTGAACAGGTCTGGGCTCTGCATTTTCAAACAGATACAGAGAAATTATGAAGCGTCTAAAGGTGGACAACAAAAAGTGATAAAGGACCCGGGAGGCAAGCAATATGAGAATTTGAGAGTCAGCTTGCAGAAAAGGCAATTAAGAGGGGACATGATAACAGTCTTCAAATAGCTGAAGGGCTGCCACAAAGAGGAAAAACACCTCTCTTTCATGTGGCAAGTAGCATATGTAACAATGGTTTGAAATTGCACAGTAGATTTAGATGGGATATCAAGAAAAATGTCTTCACTGTTAGAACAGTGAGGGTATGGAACAGACTGCCAAGGGAAATTGGAATCTCCTTTATTGAGGATTTTAAAGAAGAGACTGCATAAACATTGGTCAGAGGTGATTTAGCAATAGTAACTCCTGAAGCATGATATAAAAAAAAAAAAAAAAAAAAAGTTGGAAGCCCAGGAGACCCCTATATAATGCTTTGCTTGGAGACCCTACTAACTATGAAACTATCAGGAGACAAGCTCTGCAGCCCAAAGCAAGTAGAAGTTTGGAGAGGACCAGGCTCAGCAGCATGAGAATGAAGCAGAACTCCAAAACTGGCTTGTTTATGAAAGAAGATTAAAAGGAGCTGGGATAAGTTTATAGAGGGGGGTAGAAGGATGGATCAGGTGGTTCCGGCTGTCTAGTCAGGGTGCATGATGCAAGAAATTGCATTTGCAGTCACCAGGCTGCAGAGCAGAGTGGAAGGTGTTTGGTTTGTCCATGTGTTTGGGCTTTGCTGATTTCCACGAGACCAGGAAGGAATGTTTTCCCCCTGCAGTTGTTATGGGTGTTAGGGTTCCCACCCCGCCCCCCTCAGAAGCATTGGGTATATGCCAAAGGTAAGGCTGAACATTTTGACTGGAGTGTGCAGATGCTATTTCTGGGAATTAAAACCTGGAGGTTTCTGGCTCAAGGGTCTTATTCCTCCTCTCGGAGTCAAACATACTGGCTACTCACAGACATGAACAAAATCCAAAACCAAACCAAAACTGTACTTTACCAGAAGAGGAAGTGCGTTAATTTGACTGGGCTCTACAGCCAATTCATTCAGCTATTATATAATAATGCAAAAAAGGCCAGCTGAAGCACAGGATCTATGCAGATGTTCGGTGAGGCAGGTCAAACTAACGTAATGCCTCTTACAGGGAAGCATGGTGCTCAACACAGACATTTCATAGATTCATAGATATTGGGGGCTGGAAGGGACCTTACAGATCATTGGGTCCAGCCCCCCTGCACTTGGACAGCAAAGGTGTGCATCACGACATTTTTTAAAGATCTCCAGGGTAGGTGATTGTACCAGCTCTGGAGGGAATCTGTTCCAGACCCTAGCTGCTCAAATTGTAAGTAAGTTTCTCCTGATGACCAATCTGAAGTGATCTCCAAGCAGTTTGTGGCCATTGGTTCTTGTCCTCCCCTGGGGTGCCTTGGTGAACAGATACTCCCTATAGGCTGCCACCAAGTCCCCTCTAAGTCTTCTTTTTTCCAGGATGAACACTCCTTGTATGACCTGCTCTCCAGACCTCTGCATGGCCCTCCTTTGGACTCTCTCAAACTTCTCCACATTCTTCCTGAAGTGCCACGCCCAGAACTGGATGTAGTATTCCAGCTGTGGTCTTGCCAAGGCTGAGTAGAGTGGGGGGATGACATCCTTAGTCTTTCTAGAGATGCATCAGCAGATGCATACCAGTATTTGATTAGTTCTTGCAGCTACAGCATTGCATTGGTGGCTCATGTTCATTCTGCTGTCTATCATGCCTCCCAGATCTCTTTCAGTTGTGGTGCTGGCAAGTGTAGTGCACTACAAAGTGTGTTGTGGATTATTTCTCCCCAGATGGAGAACTTCACATTTCTCCGTGTTAAACACCATCAGGTTTTGATCCACCCACCTTGTAAGCCCAGCCAAGTCAACCTGTATCCCTAGCCTGTCCTCAAGCATGACTGCACTCCCCCATAATTTGGTGTCGTCCGTGAACTTTGCCAGTATGCTTTTAACACCTGAATCCAAATAATTGATGAACACGTTGAAAAGCACTGATCCAAGTACTGAACCCTGAGGGATGCCACTGCCATGTTAACTCAGTTCCATCTATTAATACTCTCTGGGTCTACCTTGGAGTCAGTTACCTAGCCACCACACTGTAAAGTAGTTGAGGCTGCATTTTCCCAATTTTACCATGAGGACATAATGGGAGACTAAGTCAAAGGCCTTTCTGAAATCCAAGTATATGAAATCAGTCTCATTTCCCTTATCCAGTTGGCGAGTTACCTGATCACAGAAGGAAATGAGGTTGGTCAGGCACAAGCTGCCCACAATTAAGCCACGTTGGCTGTCGTTTAGAATACTGCCTTCAGTTAGCCTACCAATAATGGATTCTTGAATAATTTTTTCCAGGATGTTTCCAGGGACTGAGGTCAAACTAATTGGCTTGTAATTCCCTAGGTCCTCCTTTCTCCGTCTCTTGAAGATAGGCACCACATTGGGACTCTTCCAGTCTCCTAGGATTTCTCATGAGCAACACAAGTCTTCAAATAGCTTTGCCATAGGTTGCACAATGATGTCATCCAATTCCTTCAGCTCTCTTGGGTGTAGTTCATCTGGTCCTGCTGACTTGTAGATATCCAGC